GGGTAGTTACAGGGCCGTTCTGAAAACCACTTCTGTGAGAACGCACCCTGTCTAAAGATTATTATCTATCTATCTCTTATCTATTTTTGTAAATTGATCTTTGCCACGTAACTTCGTTGTTTTTGCAAGAGGACCCAAGAGGAAAACTTCTTCTCTTGAGAGCTCGCCTAAAGAAACGAGGACCATGAGTATAGATGGTGACCAGAAACGCAATCAAGTCTTTACAGACGCTAAAAATTATATCAAGCAAGCTAGTGAGATGTTACAACGAGAAGCAGCAAGACTTCGCCACAAGCAAGAGGCGATCGACGCCATGTCGAAGAAGTTGGAACATGTTCACTTTACTTCGACTATACAGCTGAATGTCGGCGGTCATCGCTTCACAACAAGTCTTCAAACGCTGACCAAAGATCCAAATTCAATGCTAGCAGCCATGTTCTCAGGGAAGTTTGAGATGAAACCTTCTGATGACGGCGCTTTCTTTATCGACCGAGACGAAACACACTTCCGGTTTATACTCAATTATCTTCGCACTGGGAAATTAACTCTGCCAGTAGGAGCAACATTTCTTGACGATCTTGCCGAGGAAGCTGAGTTCTACCAGATTCAAGGGATATTGGAAGATTTAAAGCCTAAAGCGCCGAAGAATTTTGAAGATTAAGTGATATTGACGAATGAAGATCACCGAAGCGTGTTAAATGGTTGGTTGCCTCCACAAGAGGGTAAATGGAAGCTTCTATTCAGAGGTTCCCGAGATGGCTTCGGGGCTCAAACGTTTCACTCCAAATGTGACGACAAAGGGCCCACTATCACCATTGTGAAGAGCGGAAATTACATTTTTGGAGGATTCACTGAAAAGTCATGGAACAGTAAGTATACTGTTTGGTAGTAACGGGGTTAAGTAACGTTCTTTTGAGTCGTTTTTGGCGACGTTAAAATTCAATTTCAATTTGAAAGGTTACTACAAAATAGAAAAGGCAGCTCTGCAAAATAACAAGAAAGCGGAAACAGACAACGAGAAGTGAAAAGAGGGAAAATGGTTGGCTTGGGATTTCAGTTTCTAGAAGATTAAAACTGTTAAGGAAATTAAAATGAAATAATAGATCTGGTATTGCAAATTTCCTTCAAACTTCGCATTACAAATGATAAACATGATGAACAATAAGATCTCGTTCAAAGGTGTGCTATGGTTAACATGTTATTTTTATGTTTTAGTTAAGGTAATAGAGAACAAGTAAAACATATCTGTAGTTTTATATATAGGAGGAGTCTCTTTAGCGTAGGAGGCTCGATGTTGTTAGCACAAGGACCTCAGGGTTGCTNTTTTTTTTTAGACTAGTTTGTACATATTCATATATAGAGAGTTTTTCGCATTTGTGGTTTTATTATAATTTCAGTTGTATTTATTCCTAGTTCTAAGTAATTGTAACGCAATTCAGTCTACGGACTGCCATGTTCGATATTCTAATAAACTATCTATCTATCTATCTATCTATCTATCTATCTATCTATCCAACTACAAGAAACAAGAGAAAAAAATTTCGGGTCATATGCACATTAAAGTAAATTTGTTAAACACGATTCAAATTTGCTCTCCTTTTAGAAGCTGTTTAGACCGATGTTTCTCGGCTTTAAACTCAACACATTGAAAATACAAGTAATAACTACTTGAATCCTGTGGAAAATTCACTTTTGATGTTACTTCAGTTAAACCGGTTTAACTAAAATAAACATGTTTTGCCGGTGTGAATGACGTTTAAGTAAACACAATGATGAGGGTGGGGAGGGAAGGGAACAGTAGTTGGCGTCTTTTTTTTGACATTGTCGCTGCTTAAAATTTTCTCTATTGTTATGATGACGATGTTGGAAAGCTGCTCAGATTAGGAATTTAAATGTGAATGTTATTGCGAAATTTTCACCAATCTTATTTTTGCTTCTTTTTTCTGAAACAGGTCACGGTGAGTACCTGTAATGTTCACGGTCATTCTTGTTCGGCTTGGTGAATCCACAGGGAGTAACACCGAGTAAAATGCAACATACCAAAACTCGACAACCTGTAGATGTCATTCTTACCTCGTTCTTTAAGCGAAATTAAAAATGGAAATCATATATAGCAATGAAATATACTACAATCTGATTAGTTTGTGCTACACCAAAAAATGCGCCGATCACATTGCTTTGAGATACACCCAAAAAAAATTGCGCCAATCAGAATGCTTAGAGATACACCAGATTGCGCTGATCAGACTACTGATAACGCCAAAACATACAACTCTATACGCTAACATAGAGTTATTTAAAAGAAAAAATAATCATGATAACTTAACAGGGATTTCTCCTGCATACATCTAATAACAAACCTCTTAAGTTTTTTTTTTGCCTCGGAACGAAATACCACAGAAGGCATTTTATGGACCGCCAGTTTTTTGACTGATTGAAATTAAAGGTATGTGGAAGTGACTTCCACAAGTTTTTTTTTGGTCAGAAAAGTATAGCTGTTTCGTCCGCTATATTAATCTACTGATTCATCCAATCGCCAATGGTCACATAAGATAATAGCCCTTATCGCATTTGTGTCTAGTCTGCAATGCAAAGGGTCCGCGGAGTTACAGTTTCAGGACGAGGCTATCGGGTCAACGTTTCTCGAGAAACCCCAGAAACACTCCATGTCTGACCATA